AAGTTTCTCTGGCGTTACATTAGGCTGTTGGTAGCTTGAGAAAGCGAGTTACGAACGGTGACACGCGTTCTCTGCGATATTTGTTATTTTCTCTCTCACACACACTCTATCTCAACACCGCGGGTGCACACATGATCGGACAACCGGTTTCGAAAAAGGGTAACAATTCCAGAACTATGGATTTCAATACTTATATTTCATAATCAGTTTTTCTATATTTATATTTATATATATATATATTTTTTTTTTTTAATATAGAATCTGTAGATATACATTCTTGGCAAATCCGAAAAAACTGATTCCAAAATAGGAACAGATCATTGTGCGAACTATGTATACAGGGTGCAAGTTTTTTGTATTTATTTTCCATCTCTTGTTTTTTTATTTTCTGTTCACTTTTCATTTGTTGTTAACGATGTTTACTGTTTGCTGTGGTTGTTTTATATATATATATATATATATTGTTGTCGTCGCGAGAAACACGTGCGTGTACTCGGTAGTCTGCCTCGAACTATGCACATATATATACACGCACACGTAAGTATGCATGTACTTATATATATGTATATTTCTCTATGCGCGTATATGCGTGTGAGTGTGATATATAGTTTTTTTTTTTCGTTCGTTTTGTTGTTTTCATTTTTTTGTTAATAGTTTTAATGCGTTTGGTTCAATCAGTATCTTTCACTTTGTTTTTTTCCCATTATTATTTTTAATTTTTCATCTGAACGGTGGTACATTTGATAGGGTGCACAGGGCTGCTAGGCACAGATAATTGACTCGCAAATAACTCTTCAAACAACATTAGAGCGTACGACATACAGTATTAATATACACATTACATCATTAATTATTATTATTATTATTTTCTTTTTTTTTTTTTTGTTTGTTTTCGTTTTAAAGAGTAATCATAATTGGAGTGTGTGTCTCTTGTTTCGCTTGGCCTCTGTGTGTTTCTTTTTTTTTTTTTTTTTTGTGGTGACTTCTCCAAGTTTTTTGACGTGGACACGGTGTATTTTAATCATGGGATCGTTGCTACGTGTCGTAATCTGAAGTATGATGTTCCGAAATGAAACGCCCCCTGCGGCATCACAGGCTAATCATGGATGGCTAATGCTCGACTTGACCGTGGATACTTGCGAATGGACTCCGGGGGTGACTGAGAATTTCGAACAACAGCTTCCGGTTTTATCGAAACGTCCCGGAGAACGGAAACTCTTTCGCGCGTGTCCCTCGATCTCGCGACAACGTCGATCTTGACGAATTCGGATCGATACGACTGTTCGAAGCAATTGTAAATTCGTTGGACTCGTCGATTGTTACCTAAAATATTTCTCCGTGCGCGTGCAAAACGTTAAAACTACAATGATCGTACTACATGCATGATCGATTAGATAAAAAATAAAATCATCCCCTAACAAACTTGTCGAAAAGAGACAATTCTTGGGTAGTAAAATTTCAATCTTGAACAGGATCTCCATTATATAATAAAATAGTCGATGAAAACAATAATTAGAGAACATATTGTCAAACTTGTTTGCAATGCGTCTATAATAAAATTAGAATCACGAAACTTTCAAATTAATTATGGCGCTAGAATATTGAACCCTTACAGTACTCACATTTTGTGATTGAGAGACACTAAAAGTATTGAACACTCTATTTTTCAAAAGATTCTACAATTTTCAAAAATTTTTGCCAGGGCAACGAATTAGAAATTTTTTTGCGAGTACAACAAAATGTATTTGTCCCATTTAAAACACCTATATATTGACCAATATGTGTGATAATAATTTTAAATGTAACATGTTATGCCACTTAAAAGATACGTCGATGAAGCTTGACTCTGCTGTTTGTTCCCCTTTCGTGTGTTTCCTTTCGACAACGCGATTTCTTTCGTGAAAACATGTAAAACAAATGTTAAGAAACACCCACGAGAACAGCAGGGTTAAGCTGAAATTCACGTCGCTGAAATTGCTTGCACTAGCACGATATTCGACGCTGGACGTCCGTCTCAGTGCAGGAGAGCCATGAAATGGACGCCAGGCGTCCGTATCGATCCGGAAATCGCAATAATCCGCGTGGTCCGCGAACAGTTGGCTACGCAAGTGGATTTCGGGACGCGGCGATTAGCATTACCGATCCATCTTGGACTATCCTGACGCAGTGGCTTGTGTGTCGGTTGTGTTCCTCGGCGAGTGTCGTGAGTATTATCCTCGGTGTGTAGTGTGGTGTCGGTGTGAGGGTGTACTGGGGTGTCGTGTGGCGTTGCTGATGCGTGTACAATCAATGTATAATAATGTATACAGTCAACAAATCTTATTACATCTAGTTTGTCTTTTGACGCAGCGATGGGAAGACAGAGCATAGAGACCCTTCTGGCTCAGATGTACAATAACGAGGTGGGAGGGGGATGAGGGATAAAAAGGAACCGGCGAGAAGGGATCCGCGGGAAATGGAGTTGGACGTACGATCGAAAATTTTATCAGGGGGCGCCGAAAAGGGAGGCAAAAAGGTAGGTAGGGAAGAAACGATCGGTAAAAGGGTACATTATAAAGACTAATGCTTAGAAACATTGATATGACGCATGGTGGTGCTTGGGATACGTAAGATCTGATATGTGGGACAGGTATATGTTACTTGGTAATACTTAGAGGGGAAGGAGTGCTCGCTAAAAAGGTTACTGCGCTTTGGTTTGTTTTGCTTGGCCCAGCGTCGTCTAATTTCTAAGGATTGACGCCGACGTCGCACTCGAGATGGTCTTCCGCGCCGGAAACGAAACTGGTAAAATTTAGGCAGCGATGCTTACAGCGTAAAGAATATGTGTGAAAACGTTGATTTTCCTTTCATTTTTCTTTTCACGTATGGAAACTTCGGAAGCCTGACTTCGAGTACGAAAACATCGTCGGCGGGTGGTGTTGATCGCATAAAAATATAATTACTCCGAGGGTAGTGTTGGCGAGACCAGAACGACGCCTCTTCGAGACTAATTCGAGAAATCGACATTAGCACAGGTACATGTTTTTTTTTTTTTAACTTTTCTTTTTTTTTTTTTTCTTCTTTTATTATCGTTTGGCCACAAATGCTGATAGATCTCAAGCTCCCACGCTCGCGTTTATCGGGCGACGGGTGCAACGAGCCTTCGCGCACAAAAGAAATCAAAGCGCACCGGCAGTAACACCTTTATCGCAACACTATTAATCAATAACAATATTAACGATATGTACCTACTCTCCGAACTACTTAATTACCTAACTACAAACATTAAACCTAACGCCTTAAACGCAATATCGATATCGTAACATACTTATCCGTTCCAATTTTCACAAAATCGGAACCATAAATAATAACCAATAATCAATAATCAATAATCAATAATAATAATAATAACTAATAATAATAATCATCATCATATCATCGCAATAATACTAATAATAATAATTACACAATCAATCATATCAATATAGTTTGAAATTCTCATGCGACTGCAAATATATACATATAGATGGGATATGTATTTCGTGGTAAGATTTAAACAAACGTTCGCCACTTTTTTCTTCGTTTTTTTTTTTCTTTTTCTTTTATAATTATCGACACAGATGGCTTTTCTTTACAACCTCGAGTTCCGTATGTCTGAGTGTATTAATGCTTATTCATCGTGTTTACACAGTGCTAGACACTACCTTGGAATACTGTATTCATTACAGACTCTCTTCTACATGCTACAGTTACAATTTGATTTTTGTACATAGAAGAATCTCTGTTCCTATCGGGGGACGAGGACGCGCGCGCGCACGAGTATTACGAGAAAAATTGTATTCCGGACGACAGGCGTTTTTTTCTGTACATCGTTTCCCGTACCGTTTGTAAAAGCGGGCTGTGGATCTTCATCTTTATTATTATTATTATTATTATTTTTTTTTTTAATTTTCTAGCGACGATGTTGCGTATCGACCGGAGAGAGAGAATAAAAGCTATGTACAGCGGGACCTGTGAGAAAGATACAAGACGAACAAGATCTTGGGGGCGTCCCATCGTCGTCCGGAACACGACACGCGGCGTCTTGGCGGGCCTCCGGAACCCGTACACCCGGAGACCCGTCATCCCCCGACGGCACAGCGCTCGGGGGTATCGGTTGGACGCGTCTTTAAATTTAACCCTTCCGTCGTCGGTCGTTCTGGGCGCTCAGTCTCCGAGAGACAGCCAACTATCGCTTAAAAACCATCGGTCGTACCACTAATTCTTATCCGTACTTGTAACTAAATCGACTGCTCGAGGCCATCCCCCCCTCCTCCCAATTTTGAATCGCTCCAACCCTTACACTACACCAGCGTGAATACTCGGTGGATGGAATATAGCGCTGATAATGAACCGTCGAATGTTCGTTCGACGCGTATTGCCCTAAAAAGTGTACAGAAATTCGTTTTCTCGCCCTCCCCGCTATGTTTCTTTCACCGAGTACGGTGATAGCCGAAAGACGGAAGCGGTGGCGGTAGCCAGACGGCGCGGTGGGGACAGTGACCTTGGATAGTCTCGAACGGCCGATTTATTCGGCCGCGACTGAGACGCTCCGCGTGTTTAGAAAAACGTGTTCGCCGAAATGTGTATGAACCCGGTGTCTGTGGACTCTGAGTGAAATTTTGAATCGTACACGACGCTGGGAAGAGCTAAATGTAAAGGGTGTCGGCCATGTTTGTCGCGAGAAACGAAGAGAAGAACGGAAAATAGGATCGTGGGACGTTTTTTTGAAACTTGTTGCTTTTGCTTCGCGTATACCGCGCTTGACGGGGTTTCCAGTTTAGAAATTACAGGAGAACGTGTTTCATTTTTTTTTTTCTCGAAGTGTGTTCGTTGTAACGTGTACTACGTGTAACAATTCATTTTTTTTGTTTTTATCAGTTTTCGTTTTGTTTACTTCGCCACGCTCAATGGTACAGGTAAAGCGTCAGAAAATAAGCGACAGTCTGGCATGCGTGCTTGACCTCTCGAATACGTACGCGTTGCATCTTTCTTACTTCATTTTTACGTCTATCTGTCACTCTTTTGTTCTCGTAACGTGTACCTACTGTACACCCACACGTTGGAGCGGGGATTTTCATCAGGAGGGCATCGTTCAGCCGAAGATACACGTATCAGCTCTCTATTCCCTAGCGAAACGAGACGTCTACAATTATAGATAATTCCTCAAAAACGAAGGTGCATCCGTCCTATCCTTCGTCTTTATTTCGTTTGCTATCCCGGTTCGTTTCTCAGCCTCGTTTCGCTCGTCTCGTCACCATGGAATATTATAATCAGGAATGGGCACGTATTATGGATTTACGAATACTATCACACACGTATGCTGAAGCGTTATGAAAGTCGAAAAATCGATGTCTAATTCTCGCGATTTAAAAGAAGAGGTAAAAAAGGACCTGGTTAATCGAGTGCCTCTCTCTACGCTGCAGATTCGTTCTCAAAGAATTACGTGTTAGCCGAGGATTGAATTGCGTTCTCGCTTCGATCGCCTAAAAAACGACAAGGAAACAGAAATCGGAGTCCGACTCGCGTTCGAACAAGGATTCTTCTACTACATTCTTGTCATGTATCAGCACACGAATTACGAGACGATACACTCTTGATTTAAACGCCATACTCCGCAGATCACATATAATATTATCTACAAAACGTTATGATATGATTACAAGTCCTAGCTGCTTATTTATACCTACATCTTTTTTCACTTATTTTTTTATACCTTACGCGTTAGGTCCTGCTCACTATATGAAACGAAATTTCCCAGGTTCGTCGGATTAAAACGTGATGTGTCATTACTCTACCGTGAAACCTATACTGTTACAATCGTATATGTAGTTACGCAACAGCGAAAATTAATAATAATTAATGATAATAACCATAATAATAATAATAATAATAATAATCGTAATTATAATAATAGTAATATTAATAGACGGCTCTTATCGATAATAAAAATATGAGAATGTGATGTAAGAACAATTTTACAGTCCTCCGCGTCGGAGGCTTAATAGAACGAAGAATGAAAAAAAAAAAAACGATTTAATCTATTTAACCGTGGAACGGAACACAATCGTGAACAGGAATCGAAAACAATAAACGACAGATGAACGTTAACGATCATCGAAGCACATCGTTTCGGTGTGCACCTTTGCTTCTTTTTTTTTTTTAATTTGTATGTTTGTTTATCATTTTTATTTTCTTCTTAATTCCTTAGCTTAGTACCATTGTTTCTCTCGCGTCGATATATATTATTATATATCACTTTATTACGATCGATAAGCTTCTATTTAACCGAAACTGTCAGCAGCAACGCACAACGTGTATATTTTCGTCGGTTACAGATCGTACGTTGTCTCATCATCCTTTCGTCCTCTTATTTAATTATCATTTTCCCTTTTTTTTTTTTTCACCATTCTTATTACGGCAATCAACAAGGATCCTCGCTTTGTGTACTGAGCCCCTTAACGGTATACAACTTATCCTCTATAGTTGTATTGTAACAAATATTGCCTCGAATATAAACATTTTTTTTTTTTGTTGCTTATTTAAGTTATATCTCATTTTGTTTAGGTCTCTCTCTCTCACGATTATCAATGGACAAAAGTGGCGGATTATTTTCACGCATCTTAAAGAGGGGGGGCAGAGGGGGAGGGGGATGTAACGTAGCTCATTTTTTTTTTTTCTCTTTATTATCTTACGTTACGTATGGCCGAGTCACGAGTCTCTATATTTATTTAGTAATCATTTGGTTCGCTTCGAAAACACAACGTTTACTTTATTTATCTTATTACTTTTTTTTTTTTATCGCTTTTAAATCGGAGATCTAAAACCTTTTCATTATAAAAACGTCCCCCGGCCCGACAAAATATTGCCGAGGGACTCGCTAATATATTGTGTGTCGTCGACTTCATTGTCTTCATATAAAATTCATTTCACAGTCCGCGATCTGATCAATAGTGTACGAGGTGCTTGAAGTGAAAATTACCATCGTTCCGATCGGCTTGTCTTTTCTTCGTTTTCTCCTTAAAAATCTCTCTCGTTTCTCTTCGTCCTTCAGCAAGCACGGGTAACCGAGTCGTCGTCGCAACCTGAACACTACAGCTTGGGGGAGGATTTAGGGATACTTCTTATTATTTCTTCAATCTTTCTTTCTCTCTTTCCTCGAAGAATCAACGGGAGACGATAAACGATGATTACTCGTTTCTTCTCGTCGACAAAACACACGTGTCATTGACGACATTCTTTTTTATATCGTATCTTCTCTATCTCTTTCGTTTGCTATCGGCCGAGACTCGCGAGAAGCTTCACCTTCGTCGTTCTTTCCTAGCCTGGCAAAATCGAATTCTCAAACAACGGGTAAACGCAAATATGCATATTTATATGCAAAAATGCATATACTGCAGACAGAAAGAAAGACCTCGGTCCTGGAAAGAAGTGCCAGTAGTTTCGTTAAGCCTGTGACCAAGTAAAAATTAGTCGCCGTTATCCAGAGTCCCCTAAGTAGCCGGGTGGTCAGCCATGTTTGAAAGTTCTTCAGCAGATACCATATCTACTTAATCTTAGTTTAATTTAAAAATGATTCGTATTATGTTCCCAGTGGGACATAAAGAGTCTGCCAAACTCTAAATTTCCTTACTCATAAATCTATGTCATTTTTTCCTAGTCTTCGCCTGTGAAAAGTGTGTCGATTAAATTTCAGTTCAAATGATAAACAAATACCCCAGCTACTCGAGAGTCGAACCGAAACTGATCTTTCTTTCCACTCGCGATAAACGTGCACGCGAGTGTGCATACAGGATCGAAGAACCGCGCGTAGGGGAAAGATTCTCGCGAGTCGGAGGCGTTGAATCGCGCGATACACGTTCGTAGGCTGCATCGATAAAACTTGTTCAACGTTCTCGGAGCACAATTGATTCAGATCCTCTGAACACTCTCTATTGACACTGTATCCAGCGTGTAGTTTTTCTAATGGTCAATGAGGAACCTCCGATTTATTGGATCCCATGAAATGGACAACGAGGAACGCGGTGCACTCGGCCTCGAAATCGTGGAGGTGTCTTTCACGGTTTTAATTCGTGTGTAACTGTGTTCGTGTGCATGTGTGTTGTGTTCGTGTATGTCCATGTGCGTGTGTGTGCACGTGTAACGTGTACGCGCGCCCGTACACTGGGGGGGAGAAGAGAACAAACGCCGCCGTGCGAAACGTCGTACAGGCTGGGCCCCGGATTTTGGGACCAGAGCTCGCTCGGACCCTCGACTTTTCCGTTGGACGATGTTCGAAGGTTTGACAAACCTGGTCGACCGCTTCTCGACCGTAGGACGATGCTTTTTAGGGTTTGGAGAAACTAGCGAGCTTTCTTAACGATGGTCGATGAGAGACAGTGGAATGCCATTCCACTTGTTTGATCGAGTCGAACAGCGATCGATCAGGTACTGCACGGTTTTGAACTGCAACTAGAAGTCGCTAATATAATCTAGCGATCTTCTGGCAACCAAGCAGTTGGAGATATTCTCTTTCTGATTTTCGTACGCCTTTTACTGTCTGCACGATGGAAAGTTACATGTATCTAACGGAAGTCGAGAATCTGAGTGAGTCGTTGCTCGATGATTTCCCACGGAACGTGGCCGTTCCGTCGGTCCAGTTCCTGGGTGGCGAACTCCCATCGGACGGCGGTCTCTCCCGAAGCTATTATTTACACTGACGGTACCTTCACGATCGATCCTCGCGCGTCCCACGTAAGGAAAGAAGCTACCGCGAAGAACGTCGGGCTCGCAGCGCCGTCTCAACAATTTAATACTGACGCTGGCACACGCGTCTGTACCCGAACCTCGCCGAAACAACAGGAAGAAACAGAAGAACGAAGAAAGGAGACGAAAAGAAAAGAAAAAATAATAAAGAGATACACGGAGCAGCGGCGTGTAATATCAGAAACGATTTGCTGCCTCTCGGTTGTCGCCTGACTCTTTTTTTGGCCGACGGGATGATCCTCGATTGACCATCGTTGCAGCAGCAGCCTGGCCGTTCGACGCGCCGGTTCCATCCTGTTCGATGACGAGACGATCCACGAAATTCATCCGAGCACCGCGCCCAAGCGACGATCGCTCGTTGGTCCTCGGGACTGGCGTCGATAAGGTCGTCGACCCGCGAAATTAAAATCTGTCCAGCAACCAGCGGTCCGCGAACCATTTCGCCATGATGGTTACGAGACGAGGCGGAGGAGTAGAAGAAGACGTCGACGAGGTTCCTTGCCCCTCGTGCGTCGGATAGGCCCGCTCCTCCCCTCAGTACGGCCAGAACGTAGACAGCGGGGGCGGCGGCGGCGGCGGCACGGTCGGATAGAGCGTCGGCGTGGCGATCAGGACGCAGGTGGGCGGCAAAGGTGGCGGCACGGGCGGCGGTAAAACCGGGGAAAGTGTGATCGCTGCGGCTGGGTGCAGGGCCGTGCCCGTCGGGGCACACAACGGGTGCAGGGCGAGAGAGGGACGCTGGCGCTGACGCTGACGCTGCTGGCCCTGGACCTCGCCGTTCTATTCCGAGTCCTGCTGCATTTTGACGTGGCCATTACCGGCGGAATTGCTCGATGTGCTGCCGCTGCTTGGCGGGAAACTGGTGGGTATGGTGCGGGACGACGAGAAACAAAGCTTCATGATGTACGGGAACTTGCCGTCTGAAACAGAGTTTGGAATATATAGTTAGCATTGCAAAGCAAACATGACGGAATTGGTGGCTCTTAATACTAAATTTCTTATTTATCTCGGACGTAGGGGTCGCGGAATAAATGTGTGGCGCTGCTTCGCTGGTGGTAGGATCTCGAGAAAAAAAAGGAGGGTAGAAAAGGAAAGAAGAGGCCTGCTAGTAGACTTATCAGTGAGGCTTTTTAGCAGGCCCTGATTTAGATGACGATATTGGGAAGTCGGTCGAAAAATGTATATATACAGGGTGTTCGGCCACCTCTAGCAAAAATTTTAATGAGCGATAGTAGAGGCCAAAATAAGACGAAAATCAAGAATACTAATTTGTTGATGGAAGCTTCGTTAAAAAGTTATTAACAATTAAATTCAAAAATTTCAAATCGTTCTGGAAAAATTATTTTCGGTTGCGGGGGTCAACTACAATCATTTTTGGTGAGTACACATACCTCCGAAATCCTATCTACTTTCGAGAAAAAAAATCGAGTAGGTGCTGAAATTTTTCGGCGAAAAAAAATTTTTCAAATCGTTCTAAAAAAATTATTTTCGGTTGCGGGGGTCAATTACAATCAGTTTTTGTCATTAGACATACCCACGAAATCCTGCCCACTTTCGAGAAAAAAAATAGAGAAGGTGTGAAATTATTCGAGAAAATTAAAAAATTGCAAATCGTTGTGGAAAAATTATTTTCGGTTGTAGGGTTCAATTACAGTCATTTTTGGTGAATAGACATACCCCCGAAATCTTGCGCATTTTCGAGAAAAAAATTCAGTAAGAGCGGCACTTTAAACGTTAATAACTTTTTAACGAAGCTTCCACCAACAAATTAGTATTCTTGATTTTTGTCTTATTTTGGCCTCTACTATCGCTCATTAAAATTTTTGCTAGAGGTGGCCGAACACCCTGTATAGCAACGGAGGGGTCTGTCGAGCACTTGTGAGAGCGCGACTCCTCTGGTGGCGAGCATGGGAGATGACGTAGGTATCATCGTAGCAAAGTATATGAATTTACTATTATATTTCAGACACTAATCTTTTTCTCATGGATCCATCCTCAGAATAACATTCTTAAAAATTAGTTGTATCATTGGGGTTTTCAACCAGTGTTGAACATTCCGAGTAACTCAGATATAAGGCACAAGTTGAGTATGAGCTTTTTGCAATTCTATTAAATGTTTTGTTGTAAAATTAGCTTCATCTTTGACTGGATCTGCATCTTCGATACAATTTATATTAGACAGAAAGGGATTGAGTTAAAAATAATTATTGAATCAGTTCTGGGGTGTTTCCAGGTGTTCGCTAATCGCAACATCATCTTAAATGGAATGTTCTGTCAGTATTTAAAAGTTTGCAAGGATGCCAGCCTCTATCTTTCAGCAGCTCTAATTCTAGTAAATTTTTTGTTTTAAAATTAGCGACTTCATCCTTGGTTAGGTCTGCATCTTTGATACAATATTAGACAGAAAGAGATGGAGGATCTACGTTCCAGTTTAACGTTATTGAATGAGTTCTGAGGTGTTTCCAGGTGTTAAAGTTTCCAAATATCTGAACCTCTATCTTTGAGCACCTTTGCTAAGAAAGCTTATAATTTCTGTGTGTAATACATAATACTGAATTCAAGACATTTAATTGTAGTATAGAAAAATTGAATCTTGAATCTTTTATCAATTCATCTTTGTAAAATACCAATATTGTTTAGAATAGAGGAATGCTAAGAAAACATTAACATGATAAATGAAAGTTTACAAAGAGAAATATTAAAAATGGATCGTAACGAGTAATTCATCTTGCAACATGATAACGATTCACAGCCATGAAAAGTAAGAAATTCTTTGAAGACTTTAACATAAGAGTACCCCAATGGACACTTCGAATCTAATCGAGAATTTACGAAACGTTTTAGATGCTGAGGTTTCATTGAATAAGCAATGCAACAAAATAGAATTTTTTAACAGCTTGTAGCGAGCATTAGAAAATATCGATAGAGATTATATTGGAAAATTAATAAATAGTATACGTTTGGAAACAGTAACTATAGCAAAAGACAGTAATGATAAATATTAATTTGAAATTATTATATTCGTTATAAATTCACAATAATATAAATTATTTATATGTTTTCAATTGGTTGCCTTGTTCATTAAGCACAATTTGCTCGTACGATAATGTTAATATTGATTTCAATTACTGATTGAATATTCAATGTATCATAAGCATATACACATAATACATAAAATTAAAATAAAAGTGAAGTTTCTACCAACGGTACTGTTTTCATTAAACTTGATAAATAACTAATTTCGTAGCCTGCCCACTTAATTTTCTCTCGGATTGTGTTCAGCAAACTCGTTATGCTTTAAGTATAATGCCAAAATTAGTCAATTATTTTTGTCGCTCTATTCTGAGCTAATTATACCCCATATACGATTTCAACCCTTAATCGATATCATCTTTTCCCAAAATAGACCACAATATTAATTATAAATAAAAATTAAATTTATAAGTTAAGCGTGAGAAAGATTTTTAAATGAATTTTTTAATACTGACAGAGTAATATTAATATAACGCAGGTTCATTAAATAAATTTTGTAGAATACTTGCTAATTTCCCAAAAAATCTGTTTATTTTGTTCTCCATCTCTTTTTATGAATATGTATTATAGATAATTTTGTCGATATTGCTTCTTGACCCGCAAAGTTCGAAATTTGTATTATTCAACCGTTATCAGAAAAACTTTGCCGTCCCTTGGTCTAAATCAATCGCGAAGGTTCAAAGAATGGGACGACTGGGAGTCGTGAATTAATACTGGTTAGGTCATCTTTTTTTACGACGCACAGTGCAATGAATTATGTCTCGGGGCAAAAAATATTGGCCGTTTTGTGTCAAATCCCCAATTCTGAATCATGCCAATTCCGATCGCCATTTTTATGCCACTCTTTTCACAATGTTATTTAAACGCAATGCTTTCTATTTAATTTCTTTCTTTAAAAATATTACATTTCATACTAACATTGAAATTTTTAGCGATGAAGTTGCTTATAATTTTTATTCGAAAAAGAATTTTTGTTTTGAATTGGCCCTGAAAAACAGTACCATATCTTTATTATTTCTTTCACTTTTGTAGAATTTTTTTTATACGATGGGCTTAATGTTGTACCAATAGTGCATTAGTGATTGCGTTGTAAAATTGTAAATATTTGATCGACAATCTTGGTTTTCTATTTATGGAACACGTTTGCCATACTATTTATTAATATTGTTGATCACAAAAGAGACAGCGAACGGGTGTATTCAAGTTTATGCTTTTCAACCTGCAATTAAGGGATGACGTGACGGGGGTAACTGAATAGCAAATGACGCAAATAATTACTCGGGTGACTTTGAGCGATCAAACTCTATTATCCCCGCCGAGGCTGACGTAGAAATTAGTTCTAACAAAGCGTGTGCATTAATAAAAGGAACTACATAAATATTTAAACAATTTAAATTTGGCGTAGTTTGGATTCCGTATGAAAATAGAAAAACGGAAAGTAAACAGGCCCTCGTCACGGAGTAAACAAAATCGTAGAGGCAGTTGTATAATAGGTAAACTAAATTTAACTCCGCCATGGCGAACGTGTTAATGGGATTTTGAAATATTTGATCGTGAGCGAAAATAACGTTCCTTCGACGATCGACGTTCAAATTTACCCGTTTTTGTTTCCAAACAATATTGTTTAGTTTTTAGCGATCACGTGTAAATACTTACTGCTGTTTTCCAGTGCTGTGTGATTGCATTCCATGATGGCGGCCACCGCGATTCCAACGCTGCTGAACTCGATGAGGCCAGACGACGATCGTTCCGATTTAAGGGGGAACAGCTTCACTGTCGTTGGCGCCTCGATACCGCGTTCGACGAACACACGGTGCACGGTCTCCTCGGTTAAATCCGGGGGAGTGTTGAAAAAGTGGACTATCTTCGAAGGTGGCTGTATTCTATTCTTATTGGCCATTGCTGGATTTAGGAACCTGCAATTGACAACGCCAGACGTTCGTTGATTAAATTTCACTTTCAAAAAGCGACGCGAGTAATACATAACACCTTCTTTGTTGACCTTCTAGTTTAATTTTACAACTTCGGTATAGAATATTGCTTTGTAGCGATAAAATTAGCGCGTTAAATCGTTTAGATATTTCTCCCTTTCAAGTTGAGGATAGAAATGTTCAATTTACGGATCACGTCTTGGGTTCATGTTAAGAATCAGCTCGTATTGTTTTCTAAATGTCTTTCACTGGCTCCAAGGGGAATCCCCCAAATTGGGAGGGATAGAAATGTTCAATTTACGAATCACGTGCTCATTTTAAGAATCATAACCGTATTAATACAAACCAGAGACTTCAAGATATCATTTAATTACAGTGGTTCTTAATCTTTTCAATGTCATGAAACACTTTTGATTGCAAGAGACATTTTTAGAACAAATGGACGTCTTTTGTTGGAAAAAAACGAAACAGGCGAAAGTTTTGTACTTCGATTATCTTCACGCTTCATCGATTCTAAGGGGGATTCTCCCAGCGATAGAAACATTCAGTTTACGAATCATGTGTTCGTTTTAAGAACGAACTCGTATCGTTTTTTAAATGTCATCTTTCACACTTTACTGGCTCCAAGGGGGATCCCCCAAGTTGGGAGGGACAGAAATCATTACTTTTTCTCGTATAAATTTTTTGGCGAACATGTTTACCCATAAAAATAAAGAAACTCGACGGGTACAGTGAATTAACGTTCCTTCCAAGTAATGAGTCGTTGCTGGAATTAACAGTCCTGTTTGCACCGTCGCAAACAGACGAACCGATTCCCGAATTCCATCGTGGCGGAACTATTTCTGACGTACATTCAAATTCCTTTTGAAGTTCCCGAAAGCTTGTAATTAATTTCTCGCAATCAGGATCCCCCAAGGCTGCCCCAAGGAACTTTCAAAAACCCGGACGCAATTAAGTTTTCATCGAGTAAATATTGCTATTCCCGCGATGGCGGAAGGAAGAACATCATTAATTGCTTTACATCGGAATCTACGGCGTTCCATACAGAATTTTCGCCGACAGGAAACGATCGTCCCCGGCTCCTCGTTAACGTTCCTTCACCGTCGGCGTCGCTGCTTGAAAGCTGATTAGAAACGAAGCAGATTCGTCGCGGTATCGATGAAATTTTGGTAATCAAAAGTGGCTATGGAGAAGGCTAGAAACGAGGTCAACAAATCGGGAGTAGAACGTAATCGGAGAAGAGGCTAATCCGAAAATAGCAGCTTTTGATACGGAGCTAGAATATTCTAGTAGACAGGAGTGTTACCTGTTATTCTTGCTTCCCGTGAAATCCTTGAAGCTCGCTGTCTTGTCAGGCAGAATGTAGGGGTTGGTTACGTCTGAGAGGAAAGCCTGTTTCGAAAAACCCAGCTGCAACCTGCCGTCCGTCCCGATCGTGACGTTGTTCAGATTCTGTAAACACCGTTCTACAGCTATGCTGTCGCCCATCTGGATCATGGCGCAACCCTCTTTCGTCTTCAAGAACTTCACCTGCAACAGAACGTCCAACGAGTGTTACTCGATTCTCTGGCAACGATTTTCTATAAAATATGTTTCTATGGGTCTCAGAAACACAATACTGAAATCAACGGGAATGCCCTCGAAAATATTTTATTCATTATTTTTTTAAATTTCAGATTCGGGAATATTTTAAACATTTCAATTTGTACGAAGGGTAGGAATAAGATTTGTTATTTTTTAAATAATGTTATATGCTTAATGGCTAGCCTGACATATCAATATCAACACATTGTTATGTGAGATTAGATCGAGGTCAAAGATTAGGTTAAGGGGTTGATAATTTTATAACAATGTTATAGTTTGAGAATATATTCGTAGATTTCAAAAAATGTTAAAATGTGTTGAGCTATACTCAGCTATATGTAACACTTCTAATAACGAGATACACGAATATGTTTATTTTTTAAATCATTATCATATAACATTTATAAGTTATAATTAGACTACGGATGTTTATACATGCATGGGTAATTTCAATTCTCGAAACACTACAGAATACACTTAATATGCAAAACTATAAGAAATACTTAAAGATACGAATAATTATACAGGGTGTTCACGTTATTACTAGCTAGCAACTTTTTCGAAAACTATTGTAATTAGAAAACAATTAGAGAGGAAAAAGTTTTATAGTTTTTTATGATCGATAAGACAGTGTATATCAATTCTGTATATTTACATTATTTTGTGAGAAATGAAGGTGACCTTCCATTTTTTAATTTTGTTGACAAATATGTCCATCTAATCGAATTTTTTTCTCGAAAATTCGTAGGATTTCGAGGGTATGTCTAGCGACCAAAAATGATTGTAATTGGCCCCTAGACTTGAAAATAATTTTTTTAGAACGATTTGAAATTTTTTTTTCAGCGAAAAATTTCTGCACCTACTCGAATTTTTTTCCCGAAAGTCCGTAGGATTTCGGGGGTATGTCTGTTCACCAAAAATGATTATAACTGACCTCTGCAATGGAAAATAATTTTTTCAGAATGATTTTAAATTTTTTAATTACTTTTTAACGAAGCCCCAATCAAGAAATTGTTATTCTTGATTTTCTTTTTATTTTGGCCTCTAGAATCTGTGAAATTTTTTCTAGGGATGCACGGACATCCTGTATGAAAGTATGTATCAAGAAGAGTTCATTCATGTACTATATGATGACCTTCGAGGTCGTAAAAGATCAGGAATAAAAGAAGTTTAAATAGATATAAACGATGTAAAAATCAAAATGCATTAAAAAAAATTGCTAGTGATAGCGTGAACATCCTGTATTTAGAGGTGGAGACAACTCTCTGCGAAGTCTCCATTTCATTAATTCTATTAATAAAAACATGAATTTGCATAAAGATCCGTAGCCCAGTTATAACATTCCTCCAGTTCTCAAACTTAAAACCGATATTGCTTTGATCAGAGACAAGGGACTGCTCACAAGCCCGTGCTGAGAGACTTCAGAGTGGTGGGGACATCAACCTTGAGCGGCCAAACGATGCAGTTAAGACCATGTGTGAGAGAACGGGACGTACCTTCGTCACGTTTCCGTACAGACAAAACAAATTGAAGAGCTTGTCGGTGTTGACTTTGTCCGGCTGCAGGCCATAAACCATCATCACGGAGCCCTGCGTGCTCGAAGGTGGAGTCTGTCCCAGGGTGGGCACGTATCCAGGCCGTGGCGGCGTGGGATGCAAAGGCTCTCGACCGCTAAAGTCGCTCTTGATACCATAACGCTCGACGTACGGCTCCGCATACGTTGCTGGTCCATTGAAATTCTCCTCGTAACGATCGTGGCCGGCACCCGGGGGGAAAGTTACCTGTGGCGTGGATCCTGCAACAAAGGAAAGGATATTTGATGCCTTTTGTCGCGCAGATTTCATTCGTATCTCGTCGCCGACCGCGCCACCGGCATTCAGCCTTGGCTAATTATGGAAATCGAGTGACCGTTCCGACTCCATTAATCGCGCGACACGTGGAAATATTAGCTGCCTCCGTTGCATCGAGGCGCCAGCGCCTGTTTAACGCGATTACGACCAATCGAACCAGAGAAACGTTTCCATTCATACGGGCGACGCGTGCCGCCGACCACGTTTGAATATGAATTTCGTGTAAATTAGTAATTCGCGACGGGAGAATTCGCTGCAGAAATGTAGAGACATTTGTAAACGACGTCCCACCCGGTAAAGCTTTTAAAGCTTAATAAATAGATTATTATTTTAGAAATAAATTTCCTGACGAAACAACAATTTTTCTGACAGCGTTATGAAATACGTATAAACAATTCTCGGAAGAATCGAGGTTTTGGTGAACTGTTTTGGAATTCATGGCTTCGATTATTAAGCATGAAACGGATTTACGTTGGTTTTAATTCCAATGTAAATCAGAAGATAAAGAGTGTACGATAATTTCTTAACGTTTCGAAAGGGTTGAAAGTTGGATGAACGGGTAAGTATTGCGTTGACATAGAATGATGTAAAAGATTGTCTAGGTAAACGATAATTTAGCTCGATATAGAATCGTAGGGGTTGTTGTTTGCTGGCAGCCATAGCAATCGATCAAGAAACGTTCGTTACCGGGGTCCCCGTATTGGCTGCTATTCTTTAAGCCAACGTCTCGTGCACTGGGATTGGATTTCGTCCGCAGTTATAGTTATACGATTGTTCAATCGCGACATAACTCCGCTACAATTACGCCATCGATTTTCCGTCAAAATATCTTCGGTCTCGTTACCCTCCGCTACAACTTACGGTTATAACTTCCAAGCGATCCGTGACAGAAACGTATTCCCCTGCCATCAGACTTGTAAATTACGTAATGTACACACAATGCAACAACTGTTGTATCATGGCGCGACACCGGGATACCAATACCGTTATCGAGCCTATATTATAACTATTAAAAACTATTTATACAATTCCAAACGATATTTAAACGACTGGAAGAATTTTCTTATACGAGAAAAAAGATGTAAATGTATTTGATAATTAATTACGTAAATTCTAATTGAAATCAATTCCCACATTTCCATTTGAAGAAACGTAGATGCAATACGAGGGTTCCAAACGCCACGAACACACTCCTTATTGGATAACGAGATCAGCAAGATACAAGCTGTTACATAAAGGCGCGAATATCTTCCAATTTATATAAGATTTATGTACAATTTTATGAAACGTCCAAGCATCGTATTTAAATGATTTTGTTTTTTGTCCATTGATGGATAAGAATACGCGAGATTTAAGTTGAGACTTCGTTTTCAAGGAATTTAGTGTTGTCATTTGTTTCACATTTTACGTAACTCTCAAGGTCACTAAAAATTGTACAAAATTAGTGTATTTTGTTGGCAAAACTGGTGCATTAAAAAATGACACGAAAAGTGCTTTCTTTCGTCTCTAAAACCAGAAAGAACCCTTAAGAGGGTCTTCTATTGTAAGACGAGTTTTTTATTATGTTCCCTTTGGTATTTTTTTATAAAGAAACTATGCGAGTTCTTGCATCGGCGTTTTGCATATATATTTATTACTCTTTCAGTGATATTCACAAATTTTTACAACGAGAAATAGTCAAAATTAGTGACAGTAGCGAAAAAGTGTTCTAAGGGCAAAGAAATGAAAAAGATTCTTAACCGGTACTAAAAGGACAGTAAAAGATTGATAATTAAAAAAATGGAAGCATTTTGAAGTCGAAATATCGATTTTTCTCTTGTTTGTAACTTTAGCAGGCTAAAAAAAAATAGAAAGAATAATGATTTTGACTTCATTCTAATACGGGCTGTAGCGACACATGTACTGAAGATACACGCCAAATTTGAATGAAATCGGTCGAGTAGATCTTGAGATATCATGGAAGCCAATTCAGAAAAGATAGTTTTGAGAAAAACGCATCAAAACAAAACGATCAAATCGTTCAAAGAGGTATACCTTCGTTAATTTTAGGAGTTCAGTGATATGCTTTTGCACACATATTTCTAAGACTATAATCATTATGAAAATGCAAAAAAAAATCGAACTTTTGGGCGGTTTACAGTAGAGGACCCCCTTAATTTTCGGGTCACGATAGCATTGATCACGCTGGATCACTTTTATAATAAATCGTAGCGAGTTTCACTAAGAATGAAAGTGTTTAATCGACAACAAGGTTAAAATTGAAACAAATAAAGCGACTCGAGATGTTAGCGTCGCTCAAATTGGTAAACTAGCAACGAATTACCTTTTTCTTTAATCATAACTCCCAATTTCTAAGATCATCCTACGCAACGATTACCTCTAAGCTGTCCTACGCCACTTTTTCGCGCGACAGACTGTCCCCCACGGGCAACACGAAAATCCCCCGTAACAACCCGACGATTACGGAATCCGAAAACGTCGTTCGCGACTACGAGGACCTTGCAATTACCCAAAAGGAAAAAGGTTGCGGCGACGATTCGCCATAGGTGGTCCCCATTCCAAATTGTCCATTTTCCAAATTGGTCCGTTTAATTTGACTATTAAAGAATCGGAGTGGGAGGGTCCTGGGGCGAGAGGGGGGGGGGGGGCGGAGGAGAGACTTACCGTAAGGCTGGGGCGCGGCGCCGTATCTGGGTTCCGCCAAAAGGGGAGCCGGCCTTCCATTTCCGGTCGTGTCATTTTTGTGTGCACTCGATCCTGTAACAGCGTAAACGTATCTCGTTTATTTCCCATTCTCCTGCAAAACGTCTACCGTCGACAAAGATAATCGCCGATTCACCGTTCGCGGTCGATCAGCGATTAAAAACTAAACGTTCGCAAGAAACCCTCGGAACCATCGTGGATCGTGCGCGGACGCGGCGATCGCGCGTACCGTGAACGATTCACCGCGGAAAAATCGCGTGCGACTATCCGCTACTCTCCGTATTCGACCGGCGTCCAATGAATTCGTAATACGTTATTGCGAGTTTGAAGACGATCGATCCGTTTCCACCTGCGTCACGAGTTAATCGATTCCCCCGCGATTCCCCGTCGGAGATGTCAGGTCTTAAGAAATTCACGAGACACGGTTATTCGTTGAACCATTGCAGTCCGTTCGGTTTAGCAAACCGTACGTAATGCTCGTAGTTGTCTCCTAGGACATGGTACTGATAACCCCGGCATCGTGGGACCCGACATAGACGTCCCAGGACCGAGTGACACAATACCTATGACTTCGGACACGTAGGACCGAAATTACATGCGACTCCGGACACATGGGACCCGATGGAGACGTTGTCGGATCCTGAGGACCCTCTACCGGCGTTCGATACAGTAATGATTCTTAAAATGAACGACGTGATTCGTTAATTGAACGTTTCTGTCCCTCCCAATTGGTGGTATCCTTGGAGTCAGCGAAGCTCGAAAGATTATGTTTAAAAAACGATACGAGCTGATTCTTGAAATGAACACGTGATTCGTAAATTGAACTGTTCTATCTCTCCTAACTGGGGAGGATCCCCCTTGGAATTGGCGAGGCGCGAAGGAAATTGAATTATACTATGGTATTGGTTGTAGAATACTGCAAAACTTTTACCTCGTTCATTGTTCTCCAACACTTACTCTTTACGAAAGAAACTAGTAATGTGTGAACACTTTTCATGGTCTAAAAGACGAGCTTTTGTTCTAAAAATTTCTCTTACAATCAAAAGTGTTTCGTGAATTTGAACAGGTTAAGAACCACTGTATTATGACATCTTGAAGTCTCTGGTTTGCAATAATACAGTAATGATTCTTAAAATGAACATGTGACTTGTAAGTTGAACGTTTCTATCCCTCCCAACTGAAGGGGGGCATCCCTTAGAGTCGGTCAAGCGTGAAAGATGACGTTTAATAACGATACGAGCTGATTCTTAAAATGATCCCCAGATGTGATTCGTAAGTTGAACGTTTCTATCCCTCCCAACCTAAGGGGGGCACCCTTTAGAGTCGGTCAAGCGTGAAAGACGACGTTTAATAACGATACGAACTGATTCATAAAATGATCCCCAATATATGATTCGTAAATTGAACATTTCTATCCCTCTCAACTTTGGAGGGAAAGATACCTAAACGATTTACTGATAGATCTTAACATTAGAATTACGGACATTAATTGTACATATTTCATATCACTGCATTAATAAAATTTAACGTAAATTGCTAATAATATTTTTACGAGTTCTGTGACTTTAAATATAAAATCTAACATGTCTAATCGATGAGTTCTGTAAATTTAGTATTAAAAACACTGACGTCAAACTAATTAGACTCGATGCAGACGTTCCCCGATTCCCAGAGATCGGATACTAACAACTTTGAGACTCCTGGGACTCAATATTAGGTCATCCCATAACGTTCCATCAGTTCGACAGTCTAGAATCGAGCAGAATAAAATTCATAACTCGTTGGGGAGAAGCAAAATTTGTCGTTTCAGGGGATTTTCGAAATTTTTGAATACGAGCATCATAAAATGGGTAGACATTCGAAGAAAATGGACTCGAAACATGGGTTTTATCGTGCAACAGCATGAATATATTTGTTTGCGTATAATAAAGTCGAACCTTTTTCCAAAGCATTTAATAACAGAAGGGAGATGGATTTTCGGCGATAAAGTAGTTGCTACGTAAAGAAGAACTATAACGTTTTCATCGTCGTTCTTTTATGCGTTTGATGGAATCGAAGATACTTCGTGTTTCGTATTTCGAATTGCAGAAATGAAACTTTCGTCCTTTATGAAGATGACATAGATGCTCGAACGGAACCAAAAATGTCTGATCTATCTTCGTTTTCCAGTAATAACGCCTTCAAGTTATTAGTATGCCTTTGAAACGGAGTGTAACGACGTGTATCGGTTAGGTAAACACACCGAAATAGAGTTCCTGACCTAAAGATATCTGTTTAGAGGAGAGTTCTTGAGTTTTCAGTAGCAGCAAGGAAGAGGTCGTTCACAGTAGTCAAGTGTAACGGAACAAGGGTCTGTAGAACCAAACGCTGAACCAGATGTTTAGCTATTCTGTTAATTTTTCTCGAGGACGTCTAACAAGTGCTTGCAAGTGGATTTCGACCCTCGCGGGACTGCTACTTTTTAGACCAGTAGCTGCCATGGATCCTTTGGGGCTATGTTTTATCTGTTATCTAATGCTATTAATAATATTGCATTATTTCGTAGGACTCACAAATATAGTTAAATACACCTTGCTTTCTTTACATGGACAATAAAATTATGTGTAGACAACAAAAATTTGAAAACTATTGATGACAGAAACTATCATTTTGGTGACGCTTCTGAGGCTATCCAAATTTCTACGAATCATCAATTCAAAGAGTATTGACTGTGTACCTAAAGTTGGACAACGAAATTTTTCTACTTTTTGAAAAAGAAATTGTTGCTCTAAGGGTAATATTTTCTGAGTCATCCTATTCCATATCAAAATGTTGCACTAGCCTGCTCTGTCTAACGTTGCATCGCGTTGTTAATAAATCCTGGTCGCTTTAAACGCGGCCATTTTGCATACTATCGTTGTACAGCTCTTGTTATTAACCGTGTAGATAAATTCTGATCGGTTACAAACGATAGTGTCCCTTCTGTTGTTTACCGTGGTCCAATATAATGGCAGAACTTATAGCAGACCCAAGTGTACACACGTCACTGGATTCGAGGGACGTGATATTCTTGGTAGTTGGAAATATTAGTTCTGAGGTGTTCGTGGGTTAAGGGGTTGGCTACTCCATTTCGTGCTGAGTATGTGTCTTGATGACACTGTAAATACACCCGAGCCAACGCCACGACCACTAATGACGTTTATGTGTACCTGGCTCGCTAGTAAGTACTCGAACACGAAAATTCCGATATAAATCAAACTCCGTACGAGTGTGGAGCGCAACGAAACTTCAAAGGGACAATTTTTCACGGCTCTATAGAAGAAAACAATAACAAAAATTCATACGAACTCCTATTTCACTCTATTCTCAAGTTATAGCGAGCTCTGCGTTGGTAATAATTCTTACGAAAGATGAAGATGCACTAATTAACCCCTCGACGTACGATTTAATGTAATTTTTCAAACGTATACTACATAATCATCCTTGTTGCTTTGGAAATGGATAGACGTTGCCAAAATTAGCGGATTCTCAACAGTTATGGTACAATTCCTCGAGTCCACAGTTATTCGAACAGAGTTTTACGAGTTGGGGGGTTGTTTGTTTCGCGGTGTCGCGGATCCGGAGTCTCCCGGCCTTCCAGGAGTCCTAAAAGTTCCGAATCCCACTAACTTCGAAGTCGTCGATACAGTGTTCCTCGAGTTCATCATCGTCTCTATTAGGTTCCGCAGCCGGTTCCTCGGGCAGCTGCGGAGGACGCCTCCGCGTCGAGGGATGAACATTCGCCGTGAGACGCAGGCTTGCATTTCTCTCGTGAAATTGGAAGACAATCGACAACCATCGAACGTCTGCGGTTCCCAGCGACATCGTGCAATCTCTACGCCATACAAAACTTCGTTTACAGACACACGTGCGCCCCCCTTTCAAACGGTAACCGTGAATGTTTCTGACAAGAACGCGAACGATGTTTCTCCTTCGATTTCGATTTCCCCGGAACCTCTTAATCGAAACCGTGGCAGCAACGCTTCCGGTGCACTTCGTCTTACCCGATACCGGGCGCGCATGTGGCCTGTCAGATATTTTCCTTCGACCCCCGCCACTGCCGCCTGTCGCTTCGAGATACAATCTCTGAGCGTCGGCCTCTCCGCCGAAACCGACGCCGTATACAATTGGTCTATATTAAACCGCATTACGTGCACGGGCTCCGGGCCGGCGTGGGTGTAGGGACGACCGTCGAAGGGCGTGTTGGTGCTAGAGCGTCGGTGATATCGGCCAGGTTGCCGTAACCTTCATTGATTTCGAATATTCGGTATCGCGTGCCTACACACGAAACGTCGATGCAAAGCTCGAGGACGATGCATCTTCGTTCGAGACAAACGGGCTTTCTGTGATATCGTTTCGATTACTTCCAGGTCGAAAGATAGCGGTTTTTTTTTTGAATACTAGCCCCTGGAGTTTATTTTTAATTAAGCAACTCAACGACAAGACTAGGGGTTTAGGGGAGAAAAGAAAGTTTTTTTACAGGGTTTTATGAAGAACAGAAAAAATGTTCTGAGTATTCAGGTTGAGTGTTCTGGCGTGAACCTTCGAAAAAATCGATTTTTTTAAAGAATATAATTTGAAAAATATGTCTGTGAAATCTTACGATCAATTCAATTTTTCAGTTTTACCTTTCGTTCGAAAAATTTAGAAATGTCACAGGAACATCTGTAAATAAATTTTGTAAATTTAACTCCAAAGGTGTTATAGTTTATTTGTTTAAAATTCCTCAAGAAAGTTTAAAAAAACGCACTTCATATGTTTCTTTTCCTCTTCTACGAAGCAACGTACTTCTACTTTTGCATTATACGTATAGAAAGTTGTGTTTTAAAGTTTATTTTTGAGATATCTTTCTCTGTTATTTCACACATTTTTCCTTAAAGCGTGCGTTTTAAAAATCTGTACAAAAATATTCAATAATTTTCATCGAATAGAAGATAAATTTTGTTTGAAATCGATACCATAGTTAATTCCCGAGAAAACAATTATTTACGGAGAAATCTTGACTAATAATTACGCAAATACATCCTATATACAAA